GTTGAACATTCGGTAGACTTAACACCGTACTGTAATTCTTCCACTATTGAGTATAGCAAGCCAGTTGATTTGTGAACATACCCCTTAACAACATCACGAGTCTAATGCCTACTACACATTGGGTGGTAGTTTACACCATTCGAGATAAAAATGTTATTTTTGGGATTTCAGATTTTCGGGAGTAAAGTTTCAGAATTTTTTAAAAAACGCCCATACTTTCTGCCCAGGGCCCCCCCCCCCCCCCACACTGTCATAACGAAAATTTGGTGGTGTTGAGTAAATAAATTGAAATGCTTAGACCGGCTCCATGCACACAATCTCTTAAATCAACACCACTCCTTTTATCTCTGATTGATTGCTAATGAAAAGTCCGACTGTGCAGTTTGCGTCTGATGGACCATTATTTGAAGAACGCAACTCAGTAAATTTTGTCTGACATTCAAGATAGGATATCAGCGAATAAACTTTCTTTTGCTGAATCTGATGTTAAGTTGAAGTTCCTTCTTCATCATCGGTTTCGCGTACCTTTCATTTTGTCGATGCCATATCGTAATGTATTGTGCATGCTATACTACTGTAACGAAAACAAAAAGGCTCGCCGATTCCATTAATGGTAACATTAAAATACCGCAATGTGCAGATACGTCTATGTAGCCCACTTCATACGCTGTTAGGGCTGTTTGGACAATGGGAATCCATATATAACCTACTCGGTAGGCAAAATGAAATGTAAAAAATATTCATAACACCCTCCCCACCTTGTGAATGTAAAGCTATCCAGCTACTACGTACACGCTGAGGATGCGCATGGCAGCTTTGAGGGAAAAAGTGGGGGGTGGGCAGAATGCACCTACATTTATGCATGAATTCTTCAATGATTTTCCTGACAGTCTCTTATGGAGCCAACTGTCACCTGAAAATCTGTGAAGGCCATGAATTCCAATTAGGCCCATTATTAATTATTATTGTTAAGGCTATAAAACATCACCACAGTGTTTCGCAGTTATTGTTTACGCCTACTAATGCTTTGTGCTTTCATAAAGAAATCACTATAGTAGTAATATGGTGACAACATGTCTTTCCGTGCTGTGACGTAATTGTTTCCAACCATCCCCCACTCTCAATACAGGGAAAAAACTGTGCCGTCGCCTACCCAAAAGGCGCTTGACCGTTAACACGCTTTAGTCCAGTGGTGCAGGGCAAACTCATTAGTCAAAAGAACAAAAAAAAAAAAAAACAAAAAAAAAAACAAACAAAAAAACACAAGCAAGGCGATTAAAATTTGCTTGAGAGCCAAATTCTTTTTCAAGAACCTGCCAAGAACCATGTTTTTGGGAGTCAAAACTGTTTGTGGCCGGCTGACCGAGCAGCACTCAGATCGCTAAAGAGCTGCGCTTTCCAGATCACTGTTATAGTCTAACTACTGCAAGCTGTATAAAAAATTTAATTAAAAAAAAGGGGGGGTGGTAGTAGTAGTGATCAGTGATTATTCCAGAAATCCCCCCCCCCCCCGATGCCCTTCAGGTGGGGGGGGGGGGGCAGTGCCAGCATTGACAGTTATTTATTGTTGGACATATTTTTGCTCCGGGGGATGGGCGCACTTGGCTTAACCCGGGAGAGCGGCAGTGCCCCCCCCCCTGCCCCCCCGAGATATAGCTGAAAGAAACCCTGGTAGTGAAACCAAACTTTTGTATTAAAATCGTTGAAGGCGTAGAGCTGATTTGCGAGTTATCAAAGTATTTTGTCAATGTCGCTGACTGGATCTCATAAAATATCGGTATGCCAAAATCCAACGCTCCACTGCAGAACAGTTGGATCATCTATTTTATTTTAAAAACCATCTCTATTTTTACAATCGTCGCGGTTCTGAGGAACAAAATAATTGTGTAACAAAACTACGTCACACGCTTGGTAGCAGTCAAAGGCGATGGTGAGTGAACTAGTTTAAATATTACTGTTGACGCAGCCAGCTAGTTCACTGTGACACACAAAGCAGCAATACGACAATCACCCTCAATTCAATCAATTCCATCCGCGGTTATTTATTTATATCCTTTGACACTCCCACCAATCCCCTACCCATGCGTGTCTCGTATGCCACAATTTCCGTAATCAACAACCCCACCTCCCCACTCCCCATGAGTGCTTCCGAAATATAATAAGAATGGTCCCAACTTTAAAAAAAAAATACAACCAATCGTTTTTCTAGTTCTTATTCACTGCCAGATCTTCATTAGAGAGGGCTAAAACGTCTAAAACCCGAAAATTTATTAATTTTTTTAAATCGGGGAAAAAATTTTTCCACCGGGTCTCTGAAAATCGTAGTTTTGGAGGGTCTTGGCGTACAATCGTAAAAGACATCTAAAAATCGTAAATTGTACACCAAAATCGTAAGAGTAAACAGGTCTGTAAAATTAATTAGTCTAACTTATGTGTTGCTGGTTGGGAAACGTTGATATAAAATTACATATATCATTATATTTAATCTCATCTTAATTAGATTAATAGCCTAATTTTTGTAAAGGAAAAAAAAAAAAGGTGAAACCTTGTTTGGCACCATTTGAGAACCCATCCATATTTCACTCGTGGGACCTGGGGGCCACCATTGCTGCTGCTGTTGTATCCAACCAGCTTGGCCAGGAAATGCCTGGGGGATGACTGCTGTGTGTGATGCATTAGTGTTTGCTAAACACAAAAATAAAAGTTTTAAAAAAATTAAACGTTACTTTTTTAAATTATTAAATTAATGTTTTGCAGACTTAACTGATAAACAAATTTGTCATAAAACATGATAAAAATTACCTTGGATATATTAAAGTGATGTTAATAGAAGTTCAAGCATTCTAATTCTCACAAATAGAGACATAGTTTATCAGTTATTAGCCTGTTCGTTAAAAATTACTGAGAAAGTCTAAGCTTAAAAGTTCCACCCATTTTCATGCTAACCAGAAGATTGGTTGTCTTCTCCATCTGAAGCAATGTCCATACTATTTTCATCCTCATCATTCTTTGGTTTAGGAGGAAGGGATGGCTCATCTTCTTCAGGAGGTGGTGGAGGAGGTGGTGGGGGTGGAGGAGCTACCATTGGTCCATCAGCAGGTGGCATGACTGTGTCAGGTCCTCCCATCATCATCATAGGAGGAGCTGGACCAACTGTCTCTCTCTGTGTTATCCATTGTTTAGCTAAGGCAGCCCAATCAACTGATTTGGTATACATAGATATCTTAATATTAGTTTTGTTCAGATGAATAAAACACAAATCAATTACTGAATTTAAAATACAAAATGTTATGCCCCAGCTTATCACCTTTTCCTCTTAAAATTAATTTGTGTGTAAATTTATCTTTCTTGTGATAAAAAAATAAAATAAAAAATAATCATTTCCATAGAATTTGTTGCAGAGTTATAAGTGTATACCTTTAGCTTATTAAATCTGGATTAAAAAATCTAAATTTATTAATTCAATTAGCTCCAATAAAAAATAGTGCAATTAACAAATCATCCATATATATATATATGATCTACAACATATGCAGGCGTATTACCTTGCTCATGGGGTACATTCTGATAATCTGCCTGTTGCATAGACCATGTTGTTCCAAACGGATTAGCCCACATTTTGTTGTGTAGCTACACTGCATAGGTAAATCCTTTAAAAGGGACATAGTCATAGTTATATGATATTGACTAATCTCCACATTGTCATTAGACTTAGATACAAATCAATCAATAAAAAATACATAGGCCCAACAAGTGTTTCAATTTATAAAAATCCTTGCCTTTACCATATGGAGTCCCATAATTTTGTACACCCTGATTGATAATATTTCCCATCTTGACTTAATGATGAATTTAATCTGATGGCATCTTTTATGGCAATGAGCAGTATGGCTCAAACTATACTAAGTTACTAACCACTCAACTTTGATCACATCGCATCATTATTATATTGCTATTTTTATCACTAATTTAATATATAATATACCTAATATCTAATTTAATTAACTACTTTCAAACTGTCTTTGACGATGACATCGTCTGTTAGACTCAATTATCAAGTTAGAGTTACTAACTCAACTAGCTGAACTGACTGTGAATAAAAGTCAGTTACTAGATAGACTCTGCCGCCTCTGCCCCTTCCTTTTAAATACATTTTTTTTTAAAAATTAGGCCTCACTCTAGTTCCCACTCACATACTTTAAATTATTTTATTTAAATTATATTATTAGCCTATTTTTAAGTTATTAGAATTAGATTTGATTAGTATGAGATTATTGCTTGATTGATTAATTAGTCCAAGTTGAGTTATCAGGCATAACTAAATTAGTAAAAATAGATAAGATAGGCCTAGTTTAAATAAATATGTTAAATTATTTTTTTCAGTGAAGTTACCTCTTCAAAGTAAATCTAAAATTAAAAATAAAATAAAATTAGGGCTAGGGTATTAGTATTAGCATTGGGCTTAATTAACACTGACCATGCCATAATGAACAATAAACAATGATTAAACACTATCACTAACAATAACAATGTGTAGCCAGCAGGAGTATCAGTAGGCTACTTTTAACTTACACTTGGACTTAAAAAAACAAAATAATAAAGTATAAAAGGTAAATATTTTACAATTTAATCAAATTAATACAACTTAGTAACAGATGGAATAATAATAATGACATTCATTAATGATTAATTATTAATGAATACAACTAAAATAAAGTTACACACCATCGTAGATTTAAGTATAAAAACTAATTATCAAGCACAAAGGGTAAATATAATATATATTTTTGTTCATGTCTTGTTGACACGAAATATCAAATTTCTGATAATTAGGAAAATAAATTCACTTACAACGAAGAAAAATATATAACAATTCTTAACTACTTGTACTTGTAGAAGCGGCCATGAGTAATCCCAGACTTCCAAAATCAACTAGTTCCTGTCAATAGTTGATTTCGCAGTTTTATTCAGTGAAATTTACCCGAACCCGTGAAGTCCTCTACTTGACTTTTTTTCTCCTCCTCACAAACTTAAACTGTGTTGTTGGGTACATTGGAAGCTTATTTAATTATTTACAATGAATTTTTGCCGTTTTTGTACCACGGCAGGAGTAAGGAGCTCTATAAAAAGACTAGCTGCAGCTCCGTATAAATTATGTTATTTGGATTCAGATAAATGTAATAAAAGTTATTGTAATAGTGAAAGTAGAAGTTTTTGCAACTTAGGTTTATTAAGTAGGTTGAAAACAAATGACTCAAAATACCCACTGACCGCAGATACTTTCAATTCTTTAAACCCAAAGAAACAAGAGAAATTCCCACTTTTCTTCCAACAAATTAGACAACATACCAATTTAGGGGCAATGTAAGTTACTGAAGTTGAAGTATTAATTAGTTACCAAACTTAGAAGTATGTAAATTGAATGAATGAATGTAAAAGTTGATGTAATATAATATATGATTTACTCCTTAGTCTAACTCTTAGTAGTATTAGTAGGCCTAGTTAATACTCAGATACTGATTGTAGACTAGTGTCAATAGTGTAGTGGTTGTAGTAGTCTAAGTCTAAGGAGACTTTTGTCGTAGGATAAATAAATTATAATTATGAATAATAATGCCATGGGAATTAATGGACTTATCCGCCAGAGCTACGGGTAAAGGAGTAAATCACTTGGGGCAATTTATGCATGGTGGTCCCAAAGAGTGGAAATTGATACTTTTAATACAATTATTTTGAAAGTTGTTGGAGCCCAAAATTTGAATTTCCTCTGGGCCCAAATATCCTCTGCACAATACAGCCCTGGACTAATCAATGGTAGCATGGCATGAGAGCTAAGAAATCATATATATAGTTTTATAGGGCCTTAAGACTGTAGAACTGTAGATAGTCCTAATCAATTAATATGCCTAGCCTAAATGGACTTGATAATATTTTTGTCTTCGTAAAACTTATTTCTGAATACCCAGTTTCAGCTGGCACTTTTTTTGATGTGATTATGTTATGTATGCGACATATAATTTTTGCCTACAAAAACTCAAGAGCTTAAAAGGACAACAAAAAACTTAAGCGCTGTAATTTATATTAATAGAACCTTCAAAGACATATGCAATTCATATATGAACCTATGATTTCTTTATTTTTGCATATACACCTAACAAAAACTTCTTAGTATATATATATTTATCTCACCATAAATAGCAGTGCTGATGAAAAGGCAAACATTTTCCAAAGACCTAAAGCTCAGTCAACAATAGATGAAGAAGAAGTTAGCAAATTCAGTGGCCTCTCTGCATTATGGTGGGATGAAGGTGGAGAATTTGAAGCATTGCATTCACTGAATGAATTAAGAATTCCACTCATTAGAGATGCTCTTGTCTCAAAGAAAAATCTAGACCAATATGACCCTGCCAGCCCATTACAAGGCTTTTGGATATTAGATGTTGGAAGTGGTGGTGGGATTTTATCAGAGGTAAAAATGTTGATTTTTTTTGTGTGCTTAGAATTAGTAATACAATTTTAGAAAAAGGTGTGTGTGGGGGAGGGGGGATTGACTTCGGTGAGCTAATAGATAAGTGATACAAATGAGTTGTTTCTCATTCTCAATGTCCAATTTAACTCCTGAAACTATTTTGCCAGATGGCTTACAACAATAATTTTTACAATTTTTATGTTCTGTTTGACTTCATGCATCAGAGGAGTTGTGTAATGGTTGGTTTCAATTCAGACTTAGTTAGTCATATTTATCGTGTATCTTCATTAACGATAGTTGTGGGTATTGCTTAGATTTATTGGATTCATTAATTATTTAATATGTATTTTACACTATCGTTTTACTGCTAGCAGGTGCAGGTGAAAAAAAAAAAAGCAATTTATAAATAAAATAAAGACATTTGATATTTTGTAAATATTCTTCTTGACCTATGTTGATATTGATTAGTTTATTTAAAACTTTTTTAAAATACATGTTCTTTCATTATATGTATGTATAAATTAAATAAAAATCAATATATTTCCTTTCAAGAGAGCTGACAATGTTGAATTTTTATTTTTGAATTAAAAAACTTTTTAGTCAAAAGGTTTAATATTTATGTATTATCCATATTGGCAGCCATTGGCCAGACTGGGAGCATCTGTTATAGGATTAGAAGCCTCTGAAGAAACTATTAAAATTGCTCAAGCTCATCTCATTCATGATGTGCAAATCCGTGATAGTGTTAAGTACATAAAGTCAACAGTAGAGGATATAGCTCTGACCCAAGAAGGCAAGTTTGATGCTGTTGTGGCCTCAGAAGTTCTGGAGCATGTTTCAGATGCTCAGACATTTGTTACAGCAGCATGCAAACTTGTGCGGGTATGTATTATTTTGGATAAGTGTACATGATTGGTTTTTATTATTGTTACTTTCATGGTATCCTTGGAATATTCTGTTTTATTTTAGGCTGGTTGCTAAATAAATTGTGTGCGTAACAATTTTGGAATTTAGCGCATTTTTTTGCACAATTAAATTCATTGAAATATACAAATTGTCTTAGTAAGTTTGTATTCAAATTAACAGGTTTCAGATGCATAAATTTATGCTGCACAATCTGGCCTTATGCATAGCTTAATAACTGAGTGAAGCAAAATAATTATTTATTTCTACCACCTTGAAAGAATAATTAAATCTATACATGCATCCTTAAAGCTGTTGTGTGCAATAGCCTTACAAGTATGCTGCTTGTAGACTTCTAATATAAGCTTTACTATTTTAAAAAAAGTCTAAGTAGATGGGCACTTTATTAAAAATATGATAAAACTGCACACATTGGCTGAAATGCCTTCTAGAGCAGATAACACTATCATATTCTATTAGCTTTATTTGTGATATTTTCTGAAAGGTATTACAATTTTATTTAACGTTCTTGATATTTGAATGACTTGTTTTGTATACATGACATATTATGTTGAAAAAATTAAACATCTCTATAATTTCAGGAATTTGGGGATGGAAAGCATACATATATTTATGAGAAACCAACACTCAAATAATCTTTATTAGCACAACTGGTGTGTTATGCAAAACTGTTGGATTGATTCCAAGAAATCTTTGATGGTGATGTCATGCTACTTGTATTTAAAGATATATAGTTCACTAGCATAAATGCTGGTATTATAAACGCACACATTAAGAATTTTATGAGATTAATTTTTTAAGGATATTTGTTATTTTGTAGCCGGGTGGATCCATCTTCTTCACAACTTTGAATAAAACACAACTGGCATATGCTCTGGGAATAGTCGCTGCTGAGAACATCCTTCACTTGGTCACACCGGGAACCCATGACTGGGAGAAATTCGTGCCCCCTACAGTCCTTCAGCATATGCTAGATAAAAGTAAGTCGACTTTCATACAAATTTTGTCCATCATGATTTACTCTAAACATTAATTATTTACTCCATTTAATGATGTGACATTTTGTTACCAAAGGAGTTGGTTTTCAATAAATACTACCGGCAGTAATTTATTTACATATACAATTTTTAGAAAAATGCTGACTGTATAATTAAATCAATTACACAAATTTCTAAAACTTGATCTTTCTCTGCTATCCAGTTGAATATGCTAGGCTTTGGCCACTAATATAAGTTGAAAATAACCATGAAAACAATTGCTTGAAATTAGTGAGAATATAGTATTAGCTCAGTTGAATTTTTAATTGTAGCTGTTACTATTAAAATATTTTAAAATCATTATTTTAATTTTTGAATATGCTCACAGACAATTTTGCGACAAGACTTATCCATGGTATGTGGTACAACCCTTTAAGCAAACGCTGGTCATGGACCAAGGACACAAGTATTAACTATGCTCTCCATGCTGTAAAACCATCTACAGGGGAGGAAGGTGATGTTTGGAAGGAACGAAAGCCTTAGACATTTGACCTTTATACATGTTTTACATTTACAAAAAGCACTAATTTTATGTCTGAAGTGAATCAAATGACTAAATTGTTATCTTCATGGATTCTATGATCAGAAGAAAAAACTACTCTTTGAAAAAACTTGTTGTTTTTATTAATATGTATTTTATATTGCTAAGTTATTCATTCATTCAAAAATATTTCAAGTTAGAAAATAAACTAACACAGCTAAAATATGAACCATAATTTATTAAAATTGTTGTATAATAAACATGATTGTATTGTAAAAATGTATAAAAACAAGGAATATTGTAATAAATTTGGCACTTTGGGTGGATTGTCAATTATTTATAAAATGCACAGACTTTAAAAATTATTAACTTTCTATTAGCAGGTTAACAGCAGTACAAACAATACTAAGATGTTCTTAAAATGTTTATATTTATCTCAAAGGTGAATTCACCCTGAAACCAATCAATAAATTATTTAGCCTAAAAATACATTTTGTCATATAGTGAGTAATCTAGCCTAAACCAAGAGACCACTCCATAATTAAATGCAGAATATGTTCTGTGAAAGCTCATCTGTTTTATTTTAACCATGTTTTTGAGCTGTTATATTTTGAAACTGGATCATGCACGCAAATAGTTTTAATGATTCAAATAATGAGTTTCATTGAGTTTAAAGAAATGGACATAGTTTTATATAACTAAACGAAAAAATGTATCCATTTTGAAAAGAATATATTTTAAGATAGAAAATGAAAATAACTGCATTATTTATAGATCTTTTTTATACCATAAGTTTCAACTGTCATCACATTTTGAAGAAAAAAAACAAAAATCAGGCTATTATAAATAAAAAAAACATAATTAAATTGTATCAACAATAAATTGATTGTTTTTTACAGCAAAACATAATTGACTCATTTTTGTAAGTGACTAAAAACAGTTTTGTATATTATTATGTGAGATGAATTCATTTTTTTTTTCCCCCTGAATAAAAGCTGCTGCAGATTCTTATAATAAAAAACATTTATTGTCCATTTTTAGTAATATAAAGCTTTAAAAAACACAACCTAACTTAAATAATTTAATCACTTGCAAAAAACACCCTCTGCTATAAAGCAATGTATCTATTCAACATGCTTCGGGACTCTTCTAAGCAGATAATCTCCCCTAAGTAAATAAAGTAATCTGGTCCACAAGTTGACTTTTCCCTACAAATTACCACGCAAGTAATCAAACTGATAAGTATATTTCATTTAAACAAGGTTATTTTTAGTGAGTTTTTTGTTTGTTACACGATTATGGCAGAGTTGACACTGCAAGATCATAAAAATATAGAAAGGCTAATCAGTAAATTCCTCAACATGTACAAATAGGAACTATATGTTAAAGGTTTGACTAGACTTCCTATTTAAAAAATCCCTACCTTACCTCTATAACTGCATGGTGGGCACACTAAATACAATGATTTTTTAAAGTTATATTTCTATGGATGTTTGGAGTATCCTGTGAAACTAATTTTATTAAGATTTTTCTTTAATTACTGGTATTGGTAAATTTGAAAACTGTTCTATAAAGTTACAGTTACCTATGTTGACATTTTTGAAGTGTCAACATTATTGATTATGCAAACTGGATGATAAATAAACTTAACCTTGTGGTCTTGGTACAGAACCCAGAGTTTGGTATAACCAGTTGTAATTGCACTTTTTAAAGAGACTTATTTTTTAAAACAAATTCTGATTACTTTAATGTAATTTAAATATATTACAAGACTCATTTTTTTTATTAAGACTCTTCATATTATTCATGAGTATAATTAAACCCATGTAAAATTAAAGTATTGATATTTAAATCATGATCTTTTCTCTTAGTACAATAGCATGCTATCGATTTGAGATTTACTTTTTTGGGCATAAAGAAAATGACTTTAATAAAATCCTTTTTAAAACTAAAAATGATTTTTTAGATGTTTTGAGTCTTTCTTGTTGAGATTTAGCTTCTATAATCCTTAAGCAGGCTAATTTTTTGGGGGATACAATCAACACTTAATAAGCCATCAAAATTAATTGATTTTAAAATAAAACTTATTTTAGACCTTTAAAACAAAATTAATGGAGATCTCATAATTTCTGTCACAAGACCTCTTTTTAAAAACTATTTTGACAATACTTAACAAAATATACAGTAATTAAATATTTAAGGTCAGAGATACACAACTAAGAAAAGTTAGAAAAGGAACTACTTGGTAGACCGAATGCAAAATAAAAATGGTATAACTATTATATAGGTAAATGTGAAAGGGCTAGCAAAATTGTGAACTACAGAACACTTGAAAAGAGAAATCAGCCAGTGCCTTTAAAAATGAGACCACCTGCTAGATGAAAAAGCCAAGCTGCTCTACATTTTACCACATTAATAGATGTAAATTTACTACCTAGTCATTGAATAATTAGCGAAACACCAATATTTCTACTATACAAAAATAAGAGTTAAAAATGTTTATTTTTTATTTGTTAAAAGATTTAAGAATTCATTCTAAACAAATTGAAAAAAATGTATAACAAGCCAATGCTAATTATTTTCTTATAAGTAAAAAGCAGGGGGCCTAACAATTTTTAAAATGGTATACCTTTTCATGGCCAGCAGCCACGTTTCTGAAAAAAATTCGTACATTTTTAAAATGTTTAAAATTGCAACAAAAAGCTTATTTTGGATACATGGCCCAAATTGAGCTGCCATGCACCTCACACTTTTAATTTTAATAATGAAAAGAAAGCGCTCTTAAAAACTTGGAGTGCTTATATTAGATGATAATAAAATATTGCACTTGGACATTTTTATCGTCGTAGTATTGACAATGTTAAAATCTCTAGACTTTTTTTTACTGTGGCAGTGATGTCCCCAACCACCCAATCTAGTTTGAAATGGATTTCATAACAGAATACTTCTTTGAACACATGAGTTTTTTTATACACTTCAAATGACTTATACATGGGCGATTACCTCTTCCACTGAACAATTTTTGTTCCCATCATATTTTAAAATCTAATTTCTGAATGCACTGCTCTGTTTGGACAATCAGCTTTATACTTTTGGAAATGCTGCTGGTATCAAGACAGCTCCTTGAATTACTGAAGTTGGAATTAATCATATGTGGCACAAACTCTGACATTTTTCTTTTCCCTGCTAGTTCTAAATGTGAACATGTCTGAGGAAAGCTCAAATTATCTTTAATTTTTAGGATGCTATCTTCATGATCTATGTTAGCACTTTTGTTGAGTGTACCCTCAAAAATGTCTTTTTTTTTATTTCGTGCTTTGTTTATTACAGTATTCTCTGGCTTTTCATTACAATTACTTAATTTCTCATCAACTGCATTGTCATGATTTATTTCTTCAGACATCAACTTTGCAAAAGGTAATTTCTTTCTCAATTTTTCCCTTTTCACTAAAGGAGGTAAAGGTTGGTTTGAAATGTTTTTAAATTTTCCACTCAAACTGTTCTCATTTTTTTTTTCATCCCCACCAGCATCACATACAGTTGGATTCCTCTTCAATTCATTGCTTGAGTTTCCAATTTTACAAAGAGCCTGTTTAGAGGGCTGCTTTGTGCCACCTAAAATCTGTTCTGTCTGATTTACACTAGACTCCACCTGACCAATGACTGATTTCATTAACTCCTCCTTGTACTTGCTATCATTATTTGACCATTCATGACCTTCCACTATGTCCTGCAACTTTTTAATTCGCTCATTTAGGTTTTGATCCAATGTTATAATTTCCGAGCACATCTTTTCAACCAACTGCACAGCTTTTAAACTTTCTTCCAGTCTCTTCTCTTCCTTGGCTTGAAATGAGTGCATGTCAATAAAGCAATCACTCACTGAAAAGCTTTTAACTAGTTCTTCATTGTCACCTTCTCCTAATTTTTTCTTCTTTAGTATAGGAACAGTTTGTTTAGAGCTTTTTGCTTCTTTTTTCTTCTTCATCTGCCCATATGTAAGTGAAAATTGAAATTTTTCCTGCACCTCTTTCATATGAATTTTTGTGTGCAATTCTATATCCTCTATTGTATTTAATTTGCTACACATGTCAGATTCACTTGATGTTAATAACTGGGTAATTTCACTTACTTGGTTTTCAAACATTTCCGTAGCATTACATTTAGACGTGATTTCACTCAGAAAGCTCACCTTTTTAGGTTTCTCCTTCACCTGGTTATTTTTATTATTTAAAAAAGTAATATACACAATTGGAGGTCCATGCTTTGGAAATTCCTTATCCAAACCATTTAAGAGTGCCATTTGTTTCAGTGTGTTTCTGTAAGCTGTCATGTTGTGCATAAAAGTGGGAAGCCTGATAAAGTCTTTACGAACAACGCGTTTTATCCTGTCTAACTCGTCAACACACACTTTTCCTGACATCAGTAGATTAAAATCTATTTTGTCCACGTTACGAAGGATTGCAACAGCTCCTGAAAAAAATTAACTTAACTTTTATATTTTTAATCAAAATGAACCTTGTTATAGTTAGTAATACTATGTCTAACTCAAGGAAAAACTAACACGTCTGTTCAGCTTCGTGTCTGCACTTTTATTGACCACATATAAGCAAAACAACATAGCCTTTCACATCTCAATTTGAGAACCACGGGCCTCGCAATTGACAACAAAGGGAAGCAACTGTGACAGTACAACAACAATGACATCACAACAAACCTTGCAGAGATATAATAGCAGACACAGCAGGGTTGCTATAACATAGGTACAAGCCACCTGGCCATGTGCTTTTTGCCCTGAAGCCACATTGAAAAATTTCCACACACTCCCCAGCGTACAAGATAAATTTGACGCACAGCTATCAGAGCCCCCCGACCACGGAAATGACAGGCATTTTGTATATGAATATTGAAATTAGCTTAATTTATAGAAATTCCTAACTAACATCATTAATAAGTTTAAACACAGGTAAATTAAAAACTGAATGTAAGATAATTCTTGAACCTTCAAAGTAACACTGATCATTGGCAAGACCACCAAGATCATTTGGATTAGCCAGGCCTCTTTTGATGCGCATCACTTGCTTCCATCTGTAGTCTATGTTAGAAGTGTAACGACCGATGTGGTCAAACAACTGTTTAAAATTCAATTCTGCTGATTTACAAGCTGTGTCTGAAAAGGATATTCAAAGTGTTCATGCAATTTTACAACAGATTAACAGTGTCATTCTGTGAGAGATAGATATTATTTTTATTTAACTTTTGGGGGGTGAGGGTGAAACAAATCTTAATCCGTGGTTTATTGTGCATCTTTCAAGTCATATGGTCAAATTTTAGGTATAGTTCTCAAAAGTTATCCCCATAAACTACCTTACATTGTTATAATGAATGAACTCACAGTAAGTAAATGCTGCTCCCCAAAGGAACTTAGCTCTTCCTCTTAAGGCTGTGTTGATTGATGCTAAGCCTTCTTCTGTACATTGACTTTCAAAAGAACCCATATTCCGCAGACCAAATTTAGAACGGTGTGAAAACCAGGGCTGGAATCCATCATTAAACATTCGAAACTGATTGAGGTTAAGGTTTCCTTTAATTTTAAGTTTTGACTGAGGGTGGTTAAAAATATTTACCCAAGTTAATTGTTAAATATCTGTAACTTTAAAATTTTGTACTTGTTTTTAAATTATTTTTTTAAAAATAAAAATGTATTCCTTTAAATCAGGCCTGCACAACTCAAAATGTAAGGCGGACCATAATACTTTATGAAAGACTTGTGCGGGCTGTAATACTTTATGAAAACCTTGTGTGGGGCAAAAGAAAATAGGACAGGACTTGTGCGGGCCAAAAGAAAATAGGACGGGGGAAAGCTATTAAGAAAATAATAAGAATGAAGAATATTTCCTTACTTCGTGGGTTGCAAAGTGGGTGCTGGCGGCCGTTTTTTGTGCAGGCCTGCTTTAAATGAAAAGAAAAGCTGTGTAATGTTTGAAATAATAATATAAAAAGTATACAAAATGTGTGCCAATTTCATGATCCATTAAGCAGCGAATGCCAGATTCTCTCATGTAGTTATTTTCATCTGAAGCATTTATCCATAAAGAGTATTTCCTCCGCTCAGGCCTGTTGGCATTCACCAGTGGTCCCTTCCACACCATTTTTGCACTACAATAAAGCCAAAGTTTCTTTGCAGCATGTTTTAATACACTATCAGCTAACTATAAATAACAGAAAGGAAAGAACAACAGAAAAGATGGGTGGAATACTTTAAGGGACTATTAAACAGACCCCCACCCACAGACACACCAGACATACAATCAGGAAATCAAGACTTACAAATAATAATAATAATAAAGATTATTTAAAAATCACGCTTCATTCCCAAAGGCTCGAAGCGCGGTACATACCACATTGAAGTACAAAATTCAACATTACAAAACTACATACAAGGAAACCCATTTTAAGTCTTTCATACCTTGCAATCATAAACAACACAGGCCAATATACATCTAAAAGATAATAGCTAGATAGACATCACCCCAGCAAATGTTTGCGAAAAAGAAAGACTCCAGTGTCTGGGTGTTTCTGATAGCGTTAGGAAGAGTGTTCCAAATTGTTGGGCCAGCAAATGCGAAAGTGCGCCCCTCGTAAGTCTCAAGGCGAACATGTGGTATCGAGAGTTTGCCACTATCAGATGAGCAGAGTTGTCTAGTGGGTACATAAGGCGTAAGAAGCGCTTTGAAATAGGACGGTGCCAGGTCATGCAATCAGCGGTAGCACAGAGTTGCAATTTTGTACTCTATGCGAGCGCGGACCGGCAGCCAATGCAACTTTCTCAGAAGTGTTTAAGCATGGTCGAATTTGCGTTTTCAAAGAAAAAATGCGAGCCACATTATTCTGTGCTTTTTTAATTTTATCCAGGAGCGTAGCTGGAAGATCCCACAATAAGAGCATTGCAAGAGTCCATGTGTGATAGCACGAATGCAGACATCGGCCTCTTTGATGCGTCTAATGTTAAGAAAGGTCTGATATGACTAATTCTGCGCAGCTCTAGAAAAATCGCCTTGCAAAGCATGTTAATGTGATTTTCCATAGTAAGTGTTCTGTTTAAGTAGACACCCAGGTTTCGCACTGTTTGAGCAAACTCTTTCAGTATACCTGAGAGAGTAAAGGTTTGTGTGTTAGTTATATATTTTAGCTTTTGAGCGTAGCAATGGGGATCAGCTCAGTCTTTTCATCGTTCAATTTAAGCTTGTATATAGTCATCCAGTGCTTAACTGACTCCACTGTCTTCTGTGTCAAACTAAAAAGCTGAGGGAACTGAGAGGGGAGCACAGATATCTGAAGTTGGGTATCATAAAAGAAAGCGTACCAAATAAGGAAGAAATAGCTTTGGCCATCAAGCAGCTCAAATTAGGGAAAGCATCAGGACCGGATAACATCACATGCTGCTCCTCCTGTTTGAAAAAATATTGGAAGAAAAGAGAGTTCCAAAAGATTGGAAAGAAGGATATCTCATCAAGATACCAGAGAAAGGGGATTTCAGCAATTGTGCAAATTACAGAGGAATTACACTGCTGTCTGTACCAGGAAAGGTTTTAAAAAAAATTATTTTGAATAGAATGAAGGACCAGGCTGTGAGATCAACAGGCTGGCTTCCGTCAAAACAGATAATGCACAGATCAAATTGCAGCACTAAGAATCATTGTAAAACAGTCCATTGTATGGAACTACCCCCATATATAGCTTTGATAGACTAGGAAAAGGCCTTTGATAGCCTGGACTGACAAACCTTGTGGAAACTTCTTCAGCACTTTGGAGTACCGGAAAACTAGTCAAGATCATTCAGAGTTCTTATGAAGAAATGACATGCAGGTCGGAAGGCAAAGATAGACTCACAGATGACTTTATGGTGGAAACTGGAGTAGACAAGGGTGTCTCTTGTCCCCCTTCCTTTTCATTTTTGCCATTGACTGGATAATGAAAAAAAAAAACACAAACAAAAAGAGGAACGGAATACAGTGGACATTCTGGGAACAACTGAATGACCTAGACTTTGCAGACGACATTGCACTCCTGTCCCACAACCAGCAATAAATGCAGGAAAAGACAAACGACACAACTTTTTAGCACAGCTTGGACTTAACATAACATAAATAAAAGCAAGACAAAAATCATGAAGGTAAACTCAGCCAACCAAGAGCATATCTCTCTGGCAGGAAAAAAATGGAAAAATCACATTAAGAAATGGAGTCAGCGGGCTGTTGAGCTAATGCTCCTTATGCCCTCCCAAAAGCAACCCCCCTAAGCCCAGTATTGGGCTGCGAAGCGGCATGTTGGAGATGTCCCTTTGCCAGGATAGCCCCCACCCAAGTCGGCTCGATCGGGTTCCGCTGGGGGCCGCCACAGCCCAAAGACAACCGGTCCGGAAAAACACTGGAAGAAGTGGAGTCCTTCACATACTTAGACAGCACCATCAACATAAATGGCGGATCCAACTAGGATTTAAAGGCTAGAATTGGAAAAGCTAGTTCAGCATTTGTGCTATTAAAGAAAATATGGGAGTCCAAGGAGCTGAAGCTGCAAAACAAAGTGAGAATCTGTAACACAAATGTCAAAACAGTTCTAATATATGGAGCAGAAACTTGGAAAACCACAGCGAGCATTACACAGAAAGTATAGACCTTCATAAACCCATGCCTTAGAAAGATCCTGAACATCAAATGGCCAAATACTATCACAAACAAAGAACTATTAGAAAAGACTTACCAGGTGCCCATTAACGAAGACATCATAAAGAAAAGATGGAGGTGGATAGGTCATACTCTCTGAAAACCCCTAGATAGCACCACCAGACAATGCCTACCATGGAATCCACAGGGAAAAAGAAAGAGAGGAAGGCCAAAGAATACATGGAGACACAAGCTAGAGGCAGACATGCAAAATATGGGACATATCTGGAAACAACTGGAAAGAAAAGCACAGGCAGTGATGAATGGAAAATTCTTGTGGACGGCCTATGCCCTAGACAGGGTAAAAAGGCATAAGAAGAAGATCAGCTAAAGCATTATAAGTCTATAGTTTTAGTGCTTATGGAATAGGAAAGAAAATAAAAAAGCTCTTCTATCAGAAGAAAAAGTTAATTATTTTAACTTGGTTGTAATTATATGAATTTAAAATGGAAATGTAAAATGTCTTAGAGTGGAATATGAGACATACCTACAAGCTAAATTATCACACCAATGAATTTTGAGAGACTGGGTCAAAGAGTTTTCTTCTATATATTCCAATAACATAGGTGTGGCTTCCTCTGCAGTTATCCGTGGTCCATAAGCATGCTCCAGATAACGTTCTCCATCTCCATATTTATCTCGTACATGTTCCAAGATATATTCTGCTGATGCCAGTAAATCAAAGCGTATTTGGTTTTTCATCTTATTTGCAATTTCACTGAGCTGAAACATAATTTATTTTGGAATCAGAGGGTGTATATTAGGCAAATACAACCTGGATTTGTTTTATTCATGACAAAAATATTTTAATTGCCCACACAATTGAGGCTTGAATTGATTAATTTTAAATCACTAATTTTTTAGTGAATGTGACAAATTAAAAAAAGACTATTCAAAACTACATATAACAGATATGATGGATAACTTATGAATGCCTTTTTATTCATACTTTAGTTGGATCTTTCACTTCAAACTGTGGTGCAACTCCAGTTCTTATAAACTTTGCCTTTTCCTCAGCGAGATTTAGGGGAACAGAAACTGACTGAGATGTCAAAACAGTCTCCTGCACTTTAAAAGTAAGGCCTCGATATTTTGGCACATAAGGAAGTACTTTGGAAGACCCAACAACTTTTTTATTTTTAGTCATTTTCAACCAGCTAGAAATGAATAGAAAATACAGAATGATGCAATAAATTACCTTTTCAGTTTCTGAAAGTAAAATACATTATTAAATGTATCCATTTCAAACAATCCATTGATTGGCCTTCATTAAAACTGTTCTAATTTTATAAGTTGAAAAAATGTATAAGTCAGTAAAAAATTAATCTTTTATTAAAGATTTACAAATTAACAGATTTCACATTTTTCATAGATTTTTTATGCTTAATTGTTTCCCTCATTATCTGAGCCTGAACAAAAGTGCCTTGTGCAGATATCCGAGTCCTGAATGTGAAATTTGTGGTGACTCATTGTCAAATTGGTTTATTTCTAAAAGCAAGTTATAAAGACATGTACATTAGAAACGTGATAGTCTTGCTGGGAAACTAGTACACATATTTTAGAGGCTTCAATTCACAATAGTATTAAGTACACAAGGCATTCTGTTTGATCATGATACAGTGGCACAACTTCCTATTTGTACCTCAATGAGTGTCTAAAAAGTCTGATCATTAATTGATAGCATTGCTTGTACTTTCCCCATCGTTGATCATCAAAAGCTGTTCTTGAGCCTTGTTGATGATTATTCTTTCAGCTATATTTTTTGTTTTTAGTACACCCATAGGGCCTGTTTAACTCCCTTTTAGACAGCCAAATCAGTCTTCGGCACAGTTCTCCCAGTCACAGATTTATTGCTGATCATCTACATATCTTTTATGCAAACATCCTTGTTGCTAAAACACTGCTCTCAAGTCTGTCACACTGTCACTATCAGCATGCCGTATGCCAGGTCATTTGGTCCATTCTCTTTATGTGAAGTGAAGGCTTTTATTGAGAGTAATACTTTGGAATACTCCGGTATCTCTGTACTGGACACTTTATCTTGCAATCAAATGCTAATATTTTTCAACTGAAGTCTGAGGTAATATGTATTGAGTCTCCACTCATGGCTCACTTTCTGTGGTCATCATATCATTGCCCTTTAGGAGTGTATTGAGCATCCATGCCTGGTAAACTTGCATTCGGTCATCTCAGGTTGAGACTGTTCCAAATTATCTTGATAAATCTGGGCATAGTTGCAGGTGCTTTGGCAATCCTACTGTTCAACTTTTTATCAATAGAGTTGGACATGGTGGACTCAAGATATGTGATGTGCTTAACCACAACTTCCAGGGCATACTCCTCAGTGGTGGTGGTGGTGGTGGGAGGGGAGTCAGCTACTTGCACCATGACATTAGTCTTTACTTTATAAGGCAAAGTGCAGTTCACATGTATGCCTTATGATGTTGAACAGCTTGCCATAAAAACCTATTGTAGATGATAACTCCCTAGTTGCATTTCTTGAAGGGATTCTGGAGGAATTTGAATAAGATAAAAATGAGCATGGGTGCAAATACAAACAAAGCTTCTTCCTACTGCTGAGTGGGAATGTTTCCAATGTTGAAGCACCAGTGCAAGTTCTCATGGAATGACATGATGCCATTGAACATTCATAGGGGGTGGGAGCAACTAATTTTCTTCAGATTTTAAGATGTTTGATCAGCTGATCGAGTTCAATGCTATTGTTTAGGCCTATGTAAGTGAAATAGACATCTGTTCATGGCACTTCTCCTTTAGGCTCTTTATTTGAAATCATATTTACATAATTAGAAAAGGTAGGAGGGGAGCTACAAAGATAAACTCTATTCTTAAGGGGATCCCTGTTAGTATAAAATTGAAAACTACTGACTTAGATTCTATTTTCTAATACTAATTGATGTGTTTAAAAATTCATTCTATTTTCTTGACCACCTTGACATTATTGCAAACAATTTAACACTGCTACCTTCAGCTAAAAATGTAATTGGTTCTTGTTTTTTTGGGGGTATAAAAAGTCATATAAACCTCTCACATAACTACAGGAAATAAAAAAAAAAAAAGCAAATAGGCCTATACAAAAAATATGTTATATAATAAATAGTAGTAATAGGATATTGTATTATCAGAAAAATTTACATGAGGGGAGAGTTGTTAGAAGTATTTGTCACATCATGTAATAAAAATGGATATCATTTTGAGTTTGATAATCTAAGTGAACTCTAACAAAATTCTTACACTTACAACATTACAGGAGCAACTATTCTGTAGATTGGTCAAATTAGTTTAATTTAGGCCATTTTAGGCTACTAAATATAATATAAAATACTTCTTCTAATACTTCTATTACTACTTCTAGTACTACTTCACTTCAGTCTCTGCCTGGGCATCCGATGGGGTCTGGAGTACTTTAGTTTATTTCAGAACCTTTATTGAAACTTTTTTCTACTTTAGTGTAAGTAAAACTGATTTAAATTTAACTTACTAAGCAACTTTAACTTGAAATGTACTAACTTTACATTTTAACATTATTTAAATGTATAATACTATCCCCTGTACCTATTACTATTATTACTAGTTTTAGTCTTAATTACTCTTCTTACTCTTTGTCACTTGGACTTAGTCTTAATAATAATTAATAATATTAAATATTAATATGTTGACAAAGATCAAAGAGCAAAGACACGAAAAGAGTCACAGACGTCAACAATTAGATTAACGAGCGTAATATTTATTTATATGTTACTGTTACCAATACACACATTGAATAGGGTAGAAAATACTTAATTTTAAGACTAATACATTTTTGTTAAATGTATCCCATTTTAATTTTAAATGTTAATATCGGTCCTTCTTTTTAAAACAGTTATTTAATAGAGTTGCCATGGCGCCCACGGACTCGTAAAAATATCCTAATTTGAACTGAAAGATTTAACCCGAAACAAAGATTTAGACTTCAAGAAACTTTTCAAAATGATTGATTATCATTTCCCGAAGAAAATATTTTTGAAATAATTCGCTAATTACATTAAATGTTGCTCTATACAAATCTTAGGGTTAACGAATGTTGATGGAAATAAATTAAATGTTTTTTCTCATAAATCATGAGACTTTTGAGAACAGGAAAGGTTGTTGTTTTAAGAGATACCATAAGATATTCTGTAAAAAAAGATTAAAAAATAAAAAAACAAACCAATGCCGTATATTTATTACAATCGTCGTTGAATTGTGGCTCACCCGTTTTAACTATTAAAAGCAATATGTTTTTAATGATAGTTGTATTCTTACTGGAGGTTATCTTTTCTTTTCTACCGGGCTATGTGGGGAATTTGACTGCTTTGGTAATACTCTCAGACTTAGACTACTTATTTATTTTAATTTAGGTAGCTTTTAATTCTGAAGTCTAAGTCTAGTCTAAGTAACTAAGTTACTTAGACTTTGACTTAGTTAAACTTACTAAGTTAAAATACTAATAGAATAGTAATAGTACATTATTAAATATAAATACCTTTTAATTATTAATTTCAATAAATATTTCAATAAATACACTTTTTCTCCCCGAAAATAGGGGCAAATCATGAGTGCGTGTTAGACGCCGATATAATGTTAGTTTTTTTTCCCCTGAAATCTCCTTCTTAAATTGAGGTGCGTGTTATACGCCAATAAATAGGGTAATAAATGAATGAGTATAATATAATGATTCAATCTATGATTCAATCACATTTGTTTGACTTGGACTTGATCGATTGAACAATAATTAGTATTATAATTCAAATGACAGTTGAGTCGATCATTGATACATGGATAACTTAAGACTTAAGTTTAAGTAATTTTCAAGTCTGGGCTAGGCCCTGCATACCAGACTGACTAGTTACTTGTACTTACTCAGTTAACTTAACTTAGTACTAAAATTAGTAGTCTACTACTTTACTATTAATTGATTACAAATACTTCTGTTCTTCTACAAACCTACCCTACAGAGACAGTCCTCATTGAATGAATGATATGATTTCCTGTACATATCTGTTGTATATAGGCCTATAACATAGGCCTAATATTGAACTATCGACTATCTTATTTTGAAATATCTTCTTTAGTCTTTATGCCCGTATCCCGCCTTATGCTTTTTATCTTTACATCTCACTATAACTATAAGTAAAAAGTAGTTCTGAAGGAGAACTTAAAAATTAAGCTGTTTGGTGACAGATGGGAGAGATGGTTGTAAATGCAAGGCTGGGTATTGTTAACTGGGATGGTCATTAAGTGAGGTCTGTGGATTATCTATATTACTACGACTACTACTTAGTCTTAGGCCTAATTCCCGTTCCTACTCAAATCTTAGTAACAACTAAGTAAGCTAGAAACAGTTAACTAATTGACCAAGCTGTAAAATTAAAGTAGAAATTATCTGACTAATAAAATAATAAATGACTAGCTGAGGCACCGCCTTCGGCTGTATTTACTCTCATTTGATTTAATAGTAGTAGGTTGTCAATTTTTTTTTAGTTTACTAACATAAATATACTTGGTAGGTCAAGGGTGGGTGGGGTGGGGGTGGATAAGGAATTGAAGGCCCAAAAATTCTAAAGAATCAGTTGGTTCCAAAAGGTCATTTATGAAAAGTATATGTAAAAATACATACCTTTAGTGGAGGAGGGGTGAGGGTTTCCAAAATTTTGGCTTTGTCCCAGGCACAGATGTTGTTTGGCAAGGTCCTAAATATATAATTATAATTTAGTACACATTTACAGGTGCACCACTATTCGATGTACACCTCACTTACACAGACACACAGTCCACATACATCTTACACACACCAGATCATGCAATCCACACATGGACACCACTGAAACTTCTAAATTAGTAGTCTTAATTAACTTAATATTTTGCAGTTTGATTTTGAGCAATGTGAGTAGTGTATCTCCATTTGTTTAAAGTCTAAATATATTTTCCTTTGCAATATGGAATTCATATTCATAGTAATTATTTAAGTATATTTGTGTTCCTTAGATATCCAAGTATGTTCTTAAAATATCTGATGAAGAAATGAATACCAGAGCAGAAATCAAAGATCTAAAAGAACAACAGTCAGGGCTCAGTGCAACAGATAACTTTGCTCAGTATGCTCGACTGCAAAGAAAGATTGATAAACTTTTGAGCGTAATAAAAGAAAAGGGTAAAACATTTCTTTGTTTAGTTTATTGAATATTGATTATTATAATCATTATATGTTTAATCACACATTTTCCATTACAAGACTGAACCGGTTTTTTAACCTTGATTTCATGAGCTGGAATTGTAAATACTCAAGCTATGAACTTCTTATTCATTTATAGGATTTAAACCCAGATTTGTTATGTACACTTAAAAACAACCCTTTGTTCTGGTTCTGGTAATGTTTCGTTGCTGCACCCATGTACTGGCATCTTTGCAACGGTTGGGGGTATGATGTTGCGATTCTAACAGCTCCTAGCTGATGCCAGGGCAGCCTTGAAGCTTTCGACTGATGTCGAGTTCACAGTGGCATCGTTCAGGTGGTTCCATGCTATTATTGTGCATGGGAAGAAAGATTGATGATACTGTGTCTCTTAATTGAAATTGTTTTATTTTTTGTTGTAATCCCAAAGGTAATTCAAGGAAACAGAGCATCACTTATGTTAGAATAGGTGTGAGTGCTGGGATTTATATTTTACATGCAAGTATTAACTTTTTATATTGGAAATTGAAACAAGTATGTTATTAGATATGATTAACAAAGTGCTAGAAATAACTATGAGCTAATAATATTGATGGTAAACAGTGGCGTAGCGAGGGTGTTTGGCGCCCGGGGACAAGATCCATTTTAAAGCGCCCCCTTCTCCTTTTTTCAACTCTCAAACCCATTATTTTTACCAATAATATAATATCAAATCACATTTTGGCGCCCCTAACTAGCTGGCGCCCGGGGACATCTGTCCCCCCCCCCCCTTGCCCCCACCACGCTACGCCTCTGATGGTAAATAATTTCATATTTTAACTAAAACCGGGGAAAAGATCCATTTTAAAGCGCCCCCTTCTCCTTTTTTCAACTCTCAAACCCATTATTTTTACCAATAATATAATATCAAATCACATTTTGGCGCCCCCAACTAGCTTGCGCCCGGGGACATCTGTCCCCCCCCCCCCCCCTTGCCCCCACCACGCTACGCCTCTGATGGTAAATAATTTCATATTTTAACTAAAAAATAGGAAATAGAAAGAAAATTAGTTTTCTGAAATGAAAAATTTATCCATCAATTTGGAATTTGTTGTTTTTGTGTTATAACTCATTTTTGATTAAAAAATTTAAATGAATATTTAAAAAAAAAATCAAAATATTTCAATTTTTGTATTTTTTTGGTACTCCTTGCCTAAAGAAAATTAATTTTGTGTGACAACAGGCAAATGGAAAAATAAACAAAATATTAAAAAAGGGAAGAACCATTTCTACTTTATCATTGGTCATCTTTTGCTTGAAGCACTACAAAGAGATTATGAAATAAATTAAGCCCCCTTTCAACTTTTAATACTTAATATCTTGTATTTGCAATATTTGAAATAATTATGTATCATGAGTTCATCAAAATATACTGTCAAATAAAATTGTGAAATTAAAAAATTTAAAGAAATATTAATCACATCTATAAACGTATTGAGTAAAGGAAGAAAGCATTGAAGGTAGTTTTTAAGACTGGATCTCAAGTGTTAATTATTGAAAATTTTAAAATGATTTTTTTATTTATTTACATTTTTAAACATTTATTTCAAATAATAGGAAATAGAACTCCAGGAATCTAATTTTGTCTATATCTGTGAAAAATAAATTAATTTTTACTTGTTTTGACTAATTTAAAGTCATTTTATTCATTAATCCAAATGTTATCCTTGTGCTAGTTAAGGGAGTAAGCTTGTGATAAAAGATGCACATTAACAGTTTTTGCAATAAAGTATTTAAACAAATTAATTTAAAAAGGATGTTTAACTTTTAAGATTTCTTTATTATTATAGTAGGTTTGTAGCATTTGAGTTAATTTAGTGTGATGTGTTATTACCAGTGTTATGCTATAAAATTGTAAAGGCTCAGATTTAACTACTAGAACAAATAAAGGGGAGAGACTGCAATCAGGTTAGGTAGAAGGAAATGAGTGAAACAAAATAAGACAAAACCTGAAAAGGGATGCAAAAAACATCAATGAACTTGTCAGCAAGAAGCCTTCCTCAGTGAATAAACAACAGTAAAAACAATACTAAATAAAAATAAACACTTAGCTGCAATGTAGTATCTGAGAGGACTGCAAGAGGAATGTTTAAGTAGGTGTAAGATTTAATACGGGCGACATTTGTGATACCTTGGCTTGAGGCTGTATATTTTCTATTTATGACCTTTAATTCACAACCACCCCCCCCCTCCCTTCCTAAAGATGTGGTGAAAATGCTCCCCACCTCTCATAACAAGGAATTTTAAGTTGGACACTGATAGATAGCGAGAATCTCATAGGTATTTAAATGTTTCCTAAGAGATTTCTGGCCACAACATCTTCCATTGCACCTGATTAAAGGGCTCTTTTCTCCTAACAAAAATTGCTATATTTTATAAAAACAGCTAGAAAGTAGGGCTGTCATCAACACTGATTTAACTCCTCACATCCAACATCTACAATGCCCTAACTATGATTTGTATATTTTGAGGATTAAACACATAAATAAACATTCAAACTTGACACCACTTTATTCAACAGGCAGTAATTATGTTGTCTTTCATGTTTCTTCTTCGGAGGGAACCCCTTTTGCTGGTCAATGCCTCTTGGTTTTCACCAGTTGGTAAAATCATATCCTTTCCTACTGGAATACCAGGTGAGATAGCAAGTTTATTTAAAATAATTATAAAGTAATAGAACAGTGGTTCTCAAAGTGGATGTTAGACTGCCTAAAGAGTGCTGAAAGGCTTAGGAGATTTAATGGACCACTGGAGGGGAGTCAAGCAAATTATATGGGGAATAAATTTTAAACAAATTCCAATTTAAGGATGATTCACTATTTTGATTATAGATATCAAATAAGGGCTGAGCATTGACACAACACTCTAGGAGAGAGAAAAGCCATCGATCTAACTTTTAAGGGGAAATACCCTACTGTAATTAACAGCACTACCTATACACTTCAGGAAGTGTTGTGAACTGAGAACCTACTAGACCAGGGGTCTCCAAACTTTTCAGCCCGAAGGCAATTAACTATCATACAGCAGTTCAGGGGTCGACTACACGCTCGAATTCCAAATAAAAAAGAATCAAAACATGGATGCTGTTTTTAATTATTTATTTAATATTATTTTATTCAGTTATTTTTAATAACATATTGGTACATTACACATGAACACCTGTATTAGTGGGAATGGTGAAATTGTTTCTTGGATGCCTCCTTCACTATCTGTAAATGGTTTGCTACTGTTAGCCAGGATGTAGGCAACTCTTTAACTGGACTTAGTTAAAGATTCATTTTCATTTGAGGATTTACTGAACAATGCCCTCTGAGATGTGAGTTGATTTGTAATTTAGAAATTTTTTGGCACTGACTTTACCCTCCAACTGTGCGTATTTCTCCTGATGTTTGCTTTGATGATGATGGCGCAGGTTGTATTCTTTCAACACAGCCACGGTTTCGTTTCAAATCACACACAATGCTTTATCGATAGATTTTCTCTTGAAATTGCCGACACTCTTCGTCTATTTTTCTTTTCTCTTATCGGCTATCGCTGGGCACTAAAATAAAGTGAATTCAACATGAATAAATAGTGAAACTGAAAGTTTTTTAACACAATATCGCTAAAAAAACCTGATTATGCGAACTAATTTTGTCACAATTACAGCTGCAAATGACCCGAAACAATTTTTACAAACTCTTATGATTTCTTAAGTTAAACTTACCTGAATATAGTGTGCAAATATATCCACTTATGATTGAGTTATGGTAGAAAGATTGATGCTTTTAATATTTCCTCTTCAGAATATTCAAAAAATTCTTATTAAACTAACGACATTCCCAATAGTTTAAACACACTGATAAGTAATTACGTGAAGGAAATTATTACTAAATAAAGTAGAGTGCAACATGTTTGGCAATCAGATGCTAACTGAAACTAACACCTCCTGACCGCAGCAGTCAATCGCAACTTGCAAACTGATCAAAATAATCAAGTCTTGAACAAGCAGCAAACCATTGAAAAACTCCGCCACTAGATGGCGTTATATCATCTCATTGACTATGAACGGAAGTAGAGAAACTAAGCAGCGAATAAGGATTTGCAATGTAGTGATCGGTTGGAAAACATACCGCACTACTGCGGGCCTCTATTTTAATTCTATAAAAACATAATATCCATGTAAGCGGCGGCTGATCTTGGCAGGATACACGTAAATTTCCGTAATTTTTTTTCCGTAGACATAAAGGTCTCCACGGGCCGTATGAGAGGACCTTGCGGGACGTAGTTTGGAGACCTCTTTACGAGACCATTGCCTTTAAGAGGTGTAAACTAGTGAATAATTAATTAATAGAATAGTATTCAATATTGTTCCAGTAATTTTTTTATCTAAAATATTGCTTTGGAAACATCATTTAACGAACTTACATTTTAATTTGCTATGTGCTATATAATAAATACCATTTCTTTTTCCATACATTTTCAGGTGCTGTAGGCTTGGGTTGCTGGGTGCTAGTATCTAATTCGGTGGTGCAGAGAGTGAAGAAACTTACAGGAGTTTGACCAGTTCCACTAGAACTAGAGAAATCATTACTAATTAAACATTACATGCTTTCCTTAATGTGGTCACACAATTTCTAAAGATTATTGGATCCTTTGTCAGTCAAGTGATGGTTTCTACAAAATTCTGCCATTTACAAAAATTAGGGGAAATCCATTTCATTGACCAACATGAAATTGTGTTTGATTGTATAAAATATAAGAGCAGCTTCATTGAGCTTTGAAGTTACAGAGTGTTCTTCTTTAATCTTGAATTTTGCTTTCTATTTATTTAATATTTTTTCAAGCAATAACATTCTCCCCTTGTATATTATTGTAAAATATTATAAATGCAACTTGTTTTAATGTTGACTGTTTCAATTTACATATTTTAAAAATAGTTATCTCTACCATACCTTTCTAGTTGTCTCAAAAAATATATATTTCAATTAAGTGTTAACCTGCAACTTAAATAATCTAGATATGTTACTTTTGCTGAATTTTTTTATTTTGGGAAAAAAAAATGTTGATATAATTTTTAGCATAAGAAAAAGTTAAGATGAAAGTTTAAACCATGAAGCACCAGATTAAAAAGTATTAAAATATTTTAGATTGTTTAGTTTTATTCTATTTGAAGTGTTAGTTCTATTTTTGTGTAAAGATTCAATAGTTGGATCTGAGTCATTGGCACACTGCTTCAACTGTGTGGCTCTTTATTTGGTGCCATATAATAATCTTGGGAGATGCACAAGGTTTAGACTTAATCCATGAAACTTCCTAACCTAAACCTCTATGTGAGGAAGCCAACAGGCTTCTATTAAGTCAGAACATTCGTCTGGCTTATCAGTAAAAGAGCAGCTGCTTTTAAGCTCTTGTGACCAGTCTATTAGGCTTCTCTTAAGTCAGAACATTCGGCTGGCTTATCAGTAAAAGAGCAGCTGCTTGTAAGCTCTTGTGACCAGTCAATTAAAATGGCACTGTTTCCAGTGATGGATAACATTTAATTTATGCACTTAGGCCAATTTGCTCTTAGTCCATCTAGTCCAAGTAATGTCCAGCTGTAATGTCTATAACTTTTATATGGTTAATGTAAGTTTAAAATGTCTTTAATAACATTTATTATAAGCAGTTTAAAATTAAATTAATTTTAAACTTACTCATTTTTCTCTCAAGAAAACTAAAACTGGTTAAAAGGAAGATTATTATGCATGTTTAATGGCATTAACATTAATAAATAAATATTTTTAAAAAAATTTATGATATAAAAGATAACAAGTGGATAGTTTCAATGAATAATTTATTGTGAGATTTAGTTCACTCTGGCTTTCTATCACTGGCTAACTGTGATATAAAAAATAATAAACAGGAACATTTGAAATAACAAGTACTCTTTTAAAGGTGAGCTGAATTTAACACAAAATGTATTGTGATACCGTACTGTAACGTTATTTATGATGTGACTTATACTTTTATAGATTCACGTCTGTAAAATATAATATTTTTTTGTGTTAACACCTCATTAATTGTCACTTGATAGAGAATGGAATTAACAAAATTATCTTGAAACAGTATTTTCCAGAACAGTTTGTGACTTGAGCTAATCACCCAACATTTATTTTATAAAACTTAATATAAGAATAGCTGGTAAAGATTTTGTGAAGGATTAAGTATATAAGACAATATAATGGGCATGAAAAACATGAAATGATTTTGTGTTTACTGACCTTATAAATGTTATAAATGAATTATTGAAGACAACTAAAGAGTAAAAAAAATAAAAAAAGCTTTTGTTGTATCTAAATATCTTAATGGCTTAATAGTAATGGCTTTTCAGCTTATATACATACCAATATGTTATTAATTTACATTAGTTTATATTTAACTTTAATGTATAATTATATTCATCTTGTTTCCACAAAATAAACATGTTTTATTTTTCACTTGAAACAAAAATAGCTAATATTTTTTATGTGTAACTTACTGTATCACTATTTACTTTTGTACAGAAGTTAAATAGTGCTTTTAAATAGATTAAATCCACATTTTTGATTGAATTGTACTGTTTAAGGTAAACATTTTGATCAATAAACAAGGAAATATTTATGCAATAGGTCTTAGAAGAGATCAAAGCAGCTAAAAATATACTAATAATTAGGTTTAAAAAAACAACAACACAAATTAGTATAAATAGTTAAGTTCTGATTATTTCCATTAAAGATTTCATTACCACTTCTGGATTTAGTGTAATAATAATAGCATTTTTTAAACTCTTCAGGATTTTAATTCTTAGAATGAAGTTGCTGTTTTTTTTTAAACGAGTTATATTTTAGGATTACCTGTATATTTTTCATAATTTAGAATTACCTATTGAATATACAACTACTAAACTTGGATATTGAACGGATAATCAAAGACAGGGTAACAATGAAATGTGTCTGAAAAAATTGGACCAAAATTATTTGACTGCAACTGCAACTAAAAAAAAAAAACATGTTCAAATTTCATTGAATAACAAAGGGTAAAATTTAATTCAAAGAATTTTCCATTTGTCAAAAATGGTTTTGACCTTGCTTTGACAAATGGAACTTAAATTTTATTTTGATTCATGATTCATATAACCAATTTAATTTTCCTTCCACCCAATTCTTAAAATATATTTACCTCATGATCATTATTGACTATCTTGGAAAAACATTCACAATTGGAGTGTCTTATTCAATAATGCAGAAAAGATAACTCTGACCAAGATGTAATAATTTAAAAAGAAAAAAAAAGAATCATCGCGATTATCTGTCAGTAATGTAATCTAAGTAAAGATTTTCTAAGCAAATATATTTTCAGCAGTCATTTTATAAAAAGGAATGCTTTTTTTATTAGTAAAAAAGGGCAAAGTATTAAATAATGTCCCATTCAATAAGAGTTAGAGATAAATGCTGCATTACTTGCAATGTCTTTCAATGGGTTTCCAATAAATTTGTTTTCCAAGGGTTTAATCTTACCCTCAACAAAAAGGACTGGCAGGTCACCTGCGTACTCACAGTTGAATATCTCTTTGGTCATGTACATGCGAAGGATGAACAACATTATCCTAAACCAGGGATGGGCAAACTTTTTTGCGGAGGGCCACATTGACAAATGTAAAGCTAATGGGGGGCCGCATGTATATTATGTTTAATTTTTACATGTCGATAAAAATTTCTCTATAATAAAATCGATAAATTCGCGTTTTAGCATTACATGACAAAAGTCAAGGACTGTTTAAAAAATAGAAAATTAGGAAGAAATTTGATCAAAAATGTTAAAACAATCGTAATGGTACATGAAATTCTTTAAAATTCAACAAAATAAATAAAACAATTTTTAAAAAATATTTCTAAATGCCACATATCAGTTGCCTCGTAGTTTGCCCACCCCTGCCCTAAACTTCACAAACCTTCCTGATAAGTGATATAACTATTTCTAATGTATTTATTCTGGTAACACTTTATTTGATTGAGTTGTGTTATCATATTCTGGAGTTAAGGAAATATAAATTAATTTTAGTTCACAATTTATCACAGATAAAAGAAAAGCTGCACTTGTATTTCACTTGACATGATAAGATTTGATAGAATACAAAAATAAAAACAGCTTGACTATTGTGTAGCGAGCAAAGTAGCAAAACGAGGTTTCTGTTGGTAATTTATTTCATGGAAGCTAAAAAATTCCTTTAAAGTTAAAGATTAAGTTCATTTTGCTAAGGACAAACTTGATTTTTATTTAAAAAGGAAAAATATATACCAGTATTAAAATTTTTTTTTAAAGATCTCTTACATTTTAAAGCTTACATTAAAAGAAATTCCCATTAAATATATAATTCTTAGCGCTACTAAAGTTAGTGAAATTGATAAGAGAAAAAATGCAATGCAAGAGAAACACAATTTAACACAAATGTGATTTTTGTTTATTCATGGTACCAACATGGAATTATTAGAATTTGATATTTTTTATAAAGCATATTTTTTTTAAATATAGAAAAAAGATAAATAATTTAATATCATTAATATAACCAACTTTTAAATAAATTACATTTTGTAAGACAAAGAAAATTAATGTAAATTTTGTGCTATTGAGAACATCAGCACCAAACTCAACAAATTGTCGTTATTTCTGAGGTCACATAGAGTGGCAAGTCAAAACATATGAATAATGAAAAATCAATGATATTGTAGAGAGCATTTTACCTGCCTAAAAGATTAGATTTTAATAACACTCAGAAGTGAACTTTACAAAGTGCTATCTGGGTGAAAAGCAGGGTGAAAACTAAAGCATTCTTAAAAATTAGTAATTTTAAATAATAAATATATATGCATCACTTTAACAGCGTTTAGTTTTTGTTATGCTCTTCAACTATTAAGAAAATGAAATATTTTCAATGAATATATCACAAGCCATTTTTTGGTAAAGCCTCAAAAAAAAAAGAGAAAAAAAAGGCAATGTTCTTTGTTTAAAATAAATGTATGCTCTTCTTTATATAACAACTTCTTCAATTTCATCATCAAAGCTGCTCACAGCATTAACTGTTGGTTTAGCGGTAAAAGTGTTTATGTTCGCCTGCCGTTGTCTACGAGGCAGTACTTTATTAGGGGCTGAAACATCATCATCAACTAATGCAGCGCCACCACCAAATAAAGTGGTTCCCCTTTCTGACTCATTATTTGATTTATTCCCCTTTGTGTTGGAAGTTGTGCTATCCCAAGGAAATGTTGTAACCGTGTTTGAGCTTGTACCGCCACGTTTTTCACCAGGCGATAATGAATGATCAGTTAAGAAAAATGAGTCCTCGTCTGCTTTTTTGTTTGTAGCTTTTTTGTTTGTGGCGGCTTGTGGGCCAAACAGATTTTCCAAAAGGTTTGTTGACTGCTTGTCAGTTTTCGTTGTAGACTTTGAAGATGAGTGGTCAGTAACAGGCTTGAATGCCAGGGCGTCATCATCATCAAAGATAGACTTGGGCTTGTTATTATTTTTTATACCATTACCCACTTTAGGTGGCCCAAATGATGGTTGGTATCCTGCACCCAGGCTATCATTTGACACCTGTCGTTTCTGTCGTTGCCGTTCTAAATATGGCACAGAGACATCTTCATGGGCCGGTTTTCCCTGGTGAAGATTATTTATAGGTTTGGTGAATGAGTACTCTTTGGGATCGCTGCGCTTGCTGGGGCTGTCCATGCCATCACCAAAACCACCGGCTCTTGAACTTTCTTTGGACTTTTTGCTGGGAGAGGTGGGTTTAAAAGGATCAGGCTCTCCGCTACCCACCCCATCCATGGCATTTAGTTTTCTCAACAACTCATCTTTCTTCCTTCTCTCTTCCAAATAGATTGGATCGTTTTCCAATTTCTCTCTCTCCAATTGAGCTTTCCTTTCAAGTTCTGCCTTTTCTGCTTCTTTCTTTTCTCTGTCTTTCTTTTCTCTCTCCCATTCCTCTCTTTCCTTTCGTTCTTTTTCTTTTCGCAGCTTTTCTTCTCTGTCCCTTTGTTCCTTTTCTTCTTTTTCCCCTCTTTCTCTATCTTCTCTTTCATGCTGATCTTTTTCTTCCCTCTCCCTCTTAAGTTTATTTTCCTGGTTCTGTCTTTTCTCTAGATCCTGCAAATAAAATATAAACTATTTCTAAATATTCTGGTAATTTCTAAAATATCATGAACTAAAAATATGAAATCAAAATACTAATTCAGCAGTGATTTAAGATGTCTTGGAACAGAGTATTAGTGCCAACTAGGCAATGTGGTTTAAATATTTTATAAATAGATTTGAGTCTGCTATTTTGTTATTTACCTGCATCCCCCTTTTTTTCATCTTATTTTTATCAATAGGGATTCATGAGATTATAAAAAGTCAATACTTCTTATAAAATTATCCTGAAAGTTTATTTATTTATTAGGATGCACTACATATTTTTTTTTTAGTAAAATGATGTGAACAAAAACAATTGTTATAAACGTACATGACGCTTTCTTTCAATCTCTTCTTTTGCTTGTTTCTCTCTATTCTCTCTATCTCTCCACAGCTTCTCCTCCTTTTCTTGTCTTGAATTCTCTTCCCGCTCTTCAATATCCTTATCTACTGTATTGAATGAAAATTCTGGAGGTGATGAATAGTTTTTTTCCTTCTCTTTTTTCTCTTCTTTTTTTTCGTCCTCCCACAGTCTTCGTTTCTTTCTCTCTTGCTCAGCTTTAATCTATAGAAATTATTTAGTGAGCAGAATCAATATTTGTTATAACTATTTAAAAGTTTTCAAAGAACTTGCTAAAATATTTGTAAAAATGAATAACCTATTAACTCATTCCCTATGATTGCGACTAAATGCGTCCTGGGGGGTTTCAACAGAAATATCCAAATGTATCCCTGCGCGTCCTGACAACTCTCTTATTTTTATTTTAGAATAGCAATAAAATCGGGCATCCCTCTAGGATTCCGGTCCAAGGTGCCAAAAATCAAATTTTTATTTTTTTACAGTGAATGTTATATTTTTCTTACAGCTAATTCATTTCTGGATGCATTTATACTTAGTTCCCTTAATGCCAGCTAAAATATAGCAGCTAAAAAATTATTTTAAAAATAAAAATAGTTTGCTAAACAGATTTACTTTTTTGCAAACTATTTTTATTTGTAAAATATTTTTACTTCCTTTTATTCGTGAAAATTGATTAAGTACGGAAGTAACACAGCCGTATGGAATGAGTTAATAAAGTATTAATGTTAATTTTTTAACCCCCCCCCAAAAAAAAATTATATTACTTATACAAATTAAAATTTTGAATACAAATTGAAAAAGAACAAAAAATTAACTGATAGGATTTATTTATGACCATATAAGATGAGATTAATATGCATCGTGACAAAAATAAGCCATCAATTAATTTAAAGGAAAATAAACTCTTGTTTATAATTAGTCACATTGCAAAAAAAGAGCTCAATTTTGTAAAATAAATTTTGTTAAAGTAATTAATTAATCAGATAGCAGCTGTTAACCAAAATCAGATGCATTCTGTATATTTTGTAGCATTGTTTAAAAATTTATTTGAAGCAATCATAACCACATCTCTCACCTCTTTCTGCTTCTGGAGCTCTTCTCTACGTTTATCTGCATAAAACTTGGCCTTGTCTCTAGGTGTCAGCTCGGTCATGGAAGAAGTTTTTTTCTTAGGCTTTCGGTTTGGTGACTCATCAGGGGAGTCATCTCTTGACCTTGGAGGTCGACTGTAAATGTTCTTGTGCTCCAGAGCTTTTTCTTTGTCCTGAAAATTGATTTCTTCTGTTACAGCAAAGAATTTTATAAAATGAACACTATTAAAATCAAACTCAAATGATATTATAAAAGTGAGGGACTAAATGATAGTGTAGCACTTCATCATATTGTGTGAGAATTATGTATTTTTATTCAGTATGTAGAGTGCTTCATTGCACAACCCTGATCAGTAAGATCAACATCTCTTTTTCATGCAGCAGACTAGTATTTGAAAACGATTGAAGGAAGACAATCATTTCATCCAAATATGTCAATCTCCCAAGCAAAAAAGAGTGGATGCTGAGACTCTCCTCTCTAGTAGAGGGTAAGGAAAAGAAGCTAGTTAACTATCACGGCAATCATAAACATAAATTATAACATGGTTCTGATAGACCCATCCAAAATTATATAATCTCAAAACAGAAATAAGAAGCATTATAAATGCACAAAAGCTGATGATAAAAAGAAGATAAAATCAAAATCTAAATAAAATTAGTGTAAAAATATCTAGAAAACCATTGGATATTGTGCAAAGTAAGAATTAAGAATAGTTGAAACAATTAATTTAAAATCTTCTGAAAGCCATTAGCATGAATATCCATACCTTCAACAGGCTTTCTAGTTGCGAGTTTTTCTCTGTCAGTTCTTCCACTTGCTTTTTCATATCCTTTTGCCTTGCTGCTTCAATACCCAGTTCATGGCGGTGGTTCTTTTTTAATGTCTCTACATGTCTTTGCAACTCCTGAAAAACAAAAGGCATTGACATTCCAATGTGTCCTGTCTAAAAGAAAGCTACAAAATTAGCTTGTACAACAGTAGATTCTACAAAAGTAGATTCTACAACAGTAGATACTACAACAGTAGATTCTACAACAGTAGATTCTACAACAGTAGATAGTACTTTGCTGCATTGGTATGCATGTAACATTTTTTTATATAATTTATATTGTATCTGTTTCAATTTCTTTCCAAAATTGTAAATTTCTTGATATAATTAAAATTTATATTGATTCTGTTTGAATTTCTTCCAAAATATTAACTTTGTTGATATGATTTATATTGTATCTGAATTTCTTTCAAAATATTAACTTTGTTGATATGATTTATATTGTATCTGAATTTCTTCCAAAATATTAACTTTGTTAATATGATTTATATTGTATCTGAATTTCTTTCAAAATATTAACTTTGTTGATATGATTTATATTGTATCTGAATTTCTTCCAAAATATTAACTTTGTTGATATGATTTATATTGTATCTGAATTTCTTTCAAAATATTAACTTTGTTGATATGATTTATATTGTATCTGAATTTCTTCCAAAATATTAACTTTGTTGATATGATTTATATTGTATCTGAATTTCTTCCAAAATATTAACTTTGTTGATATGATTTATATTGTATCTGAATTTCTTTCAAAATATTAACTTTGTTGATATGATTTATATTGTATCTGAATTTCTTCCAAAATATTAACTTTGTTGATATGATTTATATTGTATCTGAATTTCTTCCAAAATATTAACTTTGTTGATATGATTTATATTGTATCTGAATTTCTTCCAAAATATTAACTTTGTTGATATGATTTATATTGTATCTGAATTTCTTCCAAAATATTAACTTTGTTGATATGATTTATATTGTATCTGAATTTCTTCCAAAATATTAACTTTGTTGATATGATTTATATTGTATCTGAATTTCTTCCAAAATATTAACTTTGTTGATATGATTTATATTGTATCTGAATTTCTTCCAAAATATTAACTTTGTTGATATGATTTATATTGTATCTGAATTTTTTCCAAAATGTCAATTTTATTGCACCAGTTTTACTTCAATTTGTTGTCTCCCCAATTTACTTATAAATACAACAAGATTAAAAATAATGTGTTTAATAGAAGAAAGTAAATTAATTAATGATAAATGAAATTTAAAATTATTCTTGAATTTAAGGAAACATAAAAAAATGAGATATATTTTTTTTATATAACTAATTTTTAGATGACTCAGATTTCAATGACAAGATTTGAGGTTTACTCTAATTTTGGCTTCTTTCTCCTCCAAGTCGAGCTCAGCTTTGGTAAGTTTCCTTGTCAGTTCATCTCTCTCCATCAACTCTTTCTGTTCGCACATCTCCTTGTATTTATTCATTTTCTTTTTAACTCTTTCCAACTCATCCTCAGCATCTCTCAAATAACGATCAGACTTGTCATATTTCTCTTTCATTTTCCTGTTCTGCTCCCTCAGTGCCCTTGAAAATAATAAGATTTTTGATTGGCATGTTATGATTTTAGCAAAATACATTGGGAAGGCATGTTGGTATTAATATGAAATCAACACCTGTTGCTTTGTATGTATTTCCTACTTAGCAATAGCATGGGAATTTTCATTTTCTTGGACTTCAACTTCAATTGATAAACATGGTTTTGTCTACAATACATTTTTTTATTTAACCTTTTTTAAAAATTAAATGATAATCTAACTTTATAGGGTGAAAAAATGAGTATCTTTTTGTTTTATTTGTTACACTTACCTGACTTCATTATTGTGCTTGTCTAAAATACTGGGGAGATCATTCTCTTTTTCTTCAATAACCCTGATTGCCTTCTCCTGCCGAAACTGCATTTTCTTGTATAGTCTGTTCTCCTGTTCTAAGTCCTTGATCTGTATCCTAAGCTCTTCAACCTTAAAAGTTTCAATGAGGCAGTAAGTTTCTCAGCATTTTAGCAAAATGACACAAATCAAATCAAATTTTAATGTTTGCATGACACTGAATGTGTAAAGGATGTCATTTTTATAGATGACTCTTAAATGTTACACATCACTTTTGGCATTTAAAACTCAAATGACAAAAGAATATACTTGAAAAGAAAGTATTTCAAAGGAGTAGAAGTAACAAAACTGAGCTAATGGTAACTACAAAGAAACATTTCCTCATATTTTGATAAAGTGAAAAAGTCATCAAGACTGTGTTCTTTACCTCTAACTTTTGTATGGATTTTAACTAAGATAATTTGTGCAGCACAAGTAACAAAGTTACCTTATTCCTGAGCTCATTAATCCTGTTACGACTTGCAGACAGAACTCTGGCAGTGATTGTATCATGGCTTTTACGCATGTCACCTGGCTCGCTGGCTCGGCTGCTTCCTCGACCCCGTTTGGTTCCCCGCCCTCGCCCCCGGGCTCCCCCACCTGCACCTCTGCCCTTTCCTCGAACTATGGAAACCAAAAAAGTTTCATGTAAACCTTTAGACAGAAAGACATGCAAAAAAAAAAATGGAAGATACTTAACAATGTAAACTAGCAGTGTGCAGACCAACAGTCAAGATGGGCTTAAAGAAATGGTATCTTATGTAATTTCTTTTTAAAAAAATTAAGTGTTAGGATGAGAATTCAAATTATAGTTCTAGGCCCATTCAGTTAAGCTTGATTTCAAATTAACAGAAATAGAATTTAGATTTCTGAAAGTTGGAGTGTAAGGGAGACTGGTAATTAAGGGAGGGGTGAGTGGGGTGGAGATTAACTTTTTATCTTCTTAAAGATTATTGTTATTCCCAAAAACGTGTTGTGCTCCTACATACATAGTATGCAGACCTGTTTACTCTTACGATTTTGGCGTACAATATACGATTTTGAGGTGTATACATTATAAATACTGTATGTTTCTTTTTTACTATTTAATAATGTATGGAAGGATTTTGTGATGATGTTGTACGATTTTAAGAGTTTGGGGATAAGCAGGTCTGACATAGGAGCCAGAATGATCAATACACTGATCGCGGGCCCTCATGGTATAGCGTATTCTATTTTCAACGGACCCAACCAGCCTCATGTCAACCATTGTTAATCAATCAACTTTAAACGGAAACACTTATTTCATTCTTTAAAAAAATGGTAATCTGAAACTATTAATTTTCATTAGACATGTCACATGTGGTGTGTTAGTATTTAAAAACGAAAAAAGTAAAAGAATCTGATTAACAAGAACAAGAACATATTTGAGCCAAATGACACTGCGAAATGGCACAGTTAAATGGGGAACAGAGGTGGTATACATATCAATAATGTGCACTACAGTAGCGGCTTCTGTTATTTCCTTATCATTCACCACAACACTATAGTCATGACTAACCAGCTATATTGGCAGGCAGTAGCAGCTCAAACAGACACATTGTTATGACCTAACATTAAGTTGTCAGACAGGTAAGGGTGATTCCAGGGTGAAAGGGGGCAGCTAGGCTGTGTATTTGACACAGGAAGACTTATGCTACTTGGAGTATGCTGGCAATTGCCAAAGGACGGGCCAGTGTTGTAAAGTCATGTGCGGAATAAACGCTAGCTTGCTATCCCCAATTCAAGCCAACAGACAAGCGTTATACCCAAAAAAGAATAGCTTAACTTACACTTACAGTAGTTTTAACCAATTTTCTCTAGTAATGGAGAAATAAGAAATATAATATGATACAATTTCTTAGCTCACACAGAATCTTTAGTGCTTACATTCAAGGTTAGGAGAGGACTGTACAGTACCACCCACCAATTGTAATTTTGACGATATATATATTTAACGCTTTAACTAATTAATAATGTTGTAGCAAACTGTTTTGTAGTTTGTCACTTAATGGGTAGATGCTAGTAGTAGGATTCATAAAAACATAATCAAGTTACCAAGCTTTAGACGAACTCCGCCGTAGCCGATCCCAAGCCCGGAGAAAGAATGCCGTATTTAATGTCTGGTTTTCAAATGTCCCAAAATATGATGCCATCAAGTTTAAATGTTCCACCATACCCCCCCCCCCCCCCCCCCCCAAGGATGTCAGCCTCACTTTGGTCCCAGCACGCAACATCACAACCATTAACCATGGACGGCAGAGAAGCATTTATAGTGTAGCCAGTAGCCAGTATGATCACGACAGCCGCATCGACGAAGATGGCATGCTTATGACCTGGAAACGTTAACTGACCATCGATTTGACCTGTTTACGCCAATCCGTGCATAACGTCACATTAGTGAAGGTTATAAATCAAGATTTGTAGGACTTGCATAGAACAAGGTATCTGAAACTACTGTAGAACTGCAAACCACGCCACACACGCACCCTGCTCTCACATGGTATACGTAACTACTGAAGAGATCCACGACCCCCACCACCACCACCCCTCCCCCCCCCCGGTCGTGCAGAGGCCGAGAAAATAAAAAAAAAAGCCCTCGGGGGGGGGGGGGGCTGCCCACTTGTGAGTCTCCAAGGGCGGATGTTGTTTTGTGTGTGGATAGAATTAGGTTGTATCCAATTTACAGTAAATATCGTGGATAACCGGTTGACATTTTACAGATCAACAGGACATTCCTTCATCTTAATTTTAAAAGACATCACTGCTCACTCCACTTAACAGATCACAGATTACGTCACTTTGAAAAAACAAAAAAGTGAAATGCTCAAGGCGGTGTACTTCAATCAGGACCTCAAAGATCACCAGATTGAGCAATCAGCCAACAGGATCGATTCCGTTAGCATTTCAGAGCAAGGTCATGTTCGATATTAGCAGCCCTTGTAATCAAGACAACGATCGATAATCAATGTCGTTGTATTAGCATTGTCAACTCATCTCTCTTAGCGGTCGATGCCGCCATGTGCTAAATACAAATAAATCTTGCGAAGCTTCAGACACGAACGAGAGTGACATATCTACACTTGGGAGAGCTTTCAAGTCCCGTTACCAACCATTGATCTAAGACATCACTAGAGTCACGCTCACATTTCAGTAACTAATGTTTAAAGGTGTTTCTGTTGTCACAACATCTCGCTAACCACAGTTAAGTCCCGATAAATGACCTTGGCTACTTTTAACAAGCCCCCCCTCCCCCAATTCCACGGAAACGCCCCAAAGCTCATAAACGTAATACAGTTTTACCTGTCCATAAAATGTGATTTAAAACATATTATTCTTCAACTGAGACATTGACAGACTAAGACTTGTTAATTGCACAGCTGGGTTTATGGCCTTTCATCACGTGGCCCAGAGGATGTTGCACTTATATTGGCCAGAGGGCGCGCCCTTCAACAACGCTGAAGTATGAACGGAAGTAAAGAATTTATCTTCTATATGCCGGGGGTCAGGACAGAATCAGATGTGGCAAGGACGATATTATGACAGAATCAGATGTGGCAAGGACGATGTCATAACAGAATCAGATGTGGCAAGGGAGATGTCATGACAAAATCAGATGTGCCAAGGAAGATGTCATGATATAATCAGATGTGCCAAGGAAGATTTCTACTACTCAGATACAAATGAATTAATGTGGCGGTAAATGGGCTATTTGGGCATGTCAACTGCCCAGAGTGCAAATTAGCATATTATATTAAATAAAAGAGACAGAAAAACTAATATAATTTTTGGGAATCAGAACCGATGAAAAATTAAAAGTAATTGCGGAGCTGGAATTTATTTTAAAATGATTTTTAAAAAAAGCAACATAATTCATGTCATCTTAACAACATTGGGTATCTAAATTATTTGTAGGAATCCATTGAGCTACAAGGACTTCATACTCGCAGTGTACTACATAGGTCAAGTTTCCTAAGGACTTTATACTCACAGTGTACTACATAAATAGGTCAAGTTTCCTAAGGACTTTATACTCACAGTGTACTACATAAATAGGTCAAGTTTCCTACGGACTTTATACTCACAGTGTACTACATAGGTCAAGTTTCCTACGGACTTTATACTCACAGTGTACTACATAGGTCAAGTTTCCTACGGACTTTATACTCACAGTGTACTACATAGGTCAAGTTTCCTACGGACTTTATACTCACAGTGTACTACATAAATAGGTCAAGTTTCCTAAGGACTTTATCCTCACAATGTACTACACAGGTCAAGTTTCCTAACACTTGTGTTTTGAAAAGTGACGCAGAAGCTCATAAAGAGACTTTGAAGGATATTGGCAAGCACCACAGGGATGATGTCCCCTTTTATTATGTTACTTCCTTTTAAAACTCAGCAAAAATCAACAATAAAATTCAAATCAACATAGAGCAATCATTTATTTTAAAAAAAAATACTTTAAATATGTGTAACTTCAACTTTACAGACATTTACCCTCAGTTCTAGTTTCCATAATTTGCCCTACGAAAGTTAATCCACATGGGTTTGCGCAGGTGTTGGCAATTGTATTGGAACAAACATTTTTCTCGACAATACTTGAGTCAACAAAGTGTTTTCTCACTGACACCGAGACATTAGTATAGGATGCTGGTGTTTCCATTTTCTAGATGTTGATATTAAATATGCGTTTTAAAAGGATTCTTTTGTTTGAGCAAAATTTCATTGCCCCACAAGCATTAAATTATTTGTACTGTTATGGGGAGAGGAATAGGAAAAGTATCAAAGCATAACCACCAGTTAGTTAACTTGATAAACAAAGACAATTGTTTTATTATTGTCACACACTTTTATTTAAAATTTATTTTATCAATTAAAAATTTAGTGATCTACTTAAGTTTAAATGTGAAAAAAAAAAGTAAGAAAAAAAATCCATTGTCCTTGAATAATTCACAAATAAGAGGGATTGAAAGTTGTGAGTGTTTTTGTTTTTTCCATTGTTCAGTTCGCAGGGTTGACAAGTTTTATAAAATAATTTCAATTTGAACCTAATTGCATTTTGTGTGAGATCCTAAAATTTTTGTACATCTTTTTTAAATTTAAAAATTATTTTAAAACACATCTAAATATATCAAACTGGAATAAATCTATTTAATGAAATAATCTGGTTTATTATTAATAACTAAACTAGAGGTTCTTAACATTTATTTTAAAACATTCCTGCACCCGCATCTTGATTCCAAAACATATTTCCCCACACACAAAAAAATGCTAATAAAATGCAAATAAAAGTGATTTTCTGGATCTAACCAGACCCCCTGCACCAAAAGGGTATGAGGGCACCCCTGATTAAGAAAACCTCAACTAAACAGTCCAGTCTCAAATGTGTTCAGTGATCACTTTAAAGGAGTACTTTTTAACATTTGGGATGATGAGTAACACAACACTAAGTCACTAACTTTATGCCAAATTTTATGGAATTGAACTTGAAGCATTCTATATTTTATTTATTCTAAAATTCAAGAACATGCATATGACCATACTGAAAGATTTATACGAATTTATTAAAATTTTAAAGACATCTTTTGATTTTGTCTAGATTAATTAATTATTAGCAAACTTACATCGATCCTGGTAGTATTGGTGATGTGTATTCTTTTGAGTTGATGATTTATGTGGTGTTGGTGTTCTTTGATCATCATCACTAGAAAAATCATCACTGTATTTGTCAGCATTTCTTTCGGAAGCTCTGTCATCTCTCTCGGAATAAGCACGGTCAACACTCATTTTTGGGGTTCAGTTTCTCAATGTGAATTAAAAAATATCTTAACTCTTTAGATTTAATGGCAAATTGTAAAACATGATCAATCAGCAGCTCTATTCACCTTCTGTAAAAAAAAAAAAATTAAATAAAAATAATAATATGAGATAATGGAATAGTTAAGGAAACGGGAGATCAAATGAGAAACTTAAGAATGTTAACTTACATGACCTATTACAAACAAATTATTCAATTTCATTGGAGATTTATGTTACAAATATTTTATATTTTAAATTTTTGTTATATTTTTACTATACATATATTAAATTATATCACAAACTATGGAGTTTACAAACTGAAATCTGTATATAACATCTGTAGACACAATGGACCCATGGTGGGAAATCCTATCCTCCAAAAAACTAATTTAATTAAAAATTAGTTTATTGACTGCTACTTTATAATGAAATTTACTATATTTATGTTAAAAGAAAAAAAACAACTGTTAATGAGACACCACTTATGACTGATGGAAGTTAAAGCGAATGGCAGTTGACCAATTTAGAAAATATGGACAGTTTTCTAAATGGAAAGCAGTATCTTTACTTTATGAACTGAATGTACAACTTTATGGGCATGGTTGAAAATATATATCTGAAAAACTGAAGAGGTTTCTTGATTTCAACAATCGCATCTCATCTCTTCACAACAGTGTTGTATGTAATAAATTGTTACTTTAGTTTTAGACTTAAGCTTTAGACTGGCAGCCACCTAAAAGTTAGACTAAACATTGAGTCAATTAGATTAATTAAAGAAAGTAGTTTACTACCGATAGCTTCTAGTTAAGGCAGGGAGCTATTCGTAGTAAACTACCAATAGCTTCTAGAGAGCTATTGGTAGTCCAGCCAATCTAATCAAACCAAAATCTTAGCTTTAAAAATCTGCTTCCAATGAGGCTGGCCAAGTATTGCCCCGTTCATTTAATACTAATTTGTACTCGTGACAACACCTCGGCACTAATTAATAAATCTACAGTACTGTTTTAAAGTTTTAAAACTATCTGCTGTAGCCATCCCCATGCTTATTATTGTTACTTTAGTTAAATGAAACTGTATAATAACATGATTAGGCTTAACGATGATAAAATAAGCTTGGGCCAAACATTGTTTAGGAACATGGTCACATAAACCAACACCACCCTGCTTTGATTTTCAGTTGTTGGGAGAAATGTCTACTGAGTGTTATTTACATTAATGAGCACTCATTAACTTATAAAGGCATCAATATTTTTTATGTAAAATTAAATATTTTCATTGGGCGGGTATATTGCAGACCTGTTTACGCTCAAACTCTAAAAATCGTACAATATCATCTCAAAAGCGTTCCAAACATTATCTTAATAGTAAAAAATAAACATACAGTACATAAAATGTATACATCTCAAAATCGTACACTGTACGCCAAAATCGTAAGAGCAAACAGGTCTGATATTGTGCAACTATAACACAAATTAATCAATTTAATGTCTAGGAATCACTATTTACTTTAAATGCTATGCAGAGTATGCAGAATCAATTTTTTAAACTGCAAATAATTTTGATGAAAACATAAGCAGTGATACTGTGATACATAAATAAAATAAAATATATACAAAGAAAGAAAAATAAGTGTATTATGTAATTATGTCTTGAAAATCCAATTGGCATCGGATTGGAGTGAATTTATGAGACTAAACACAGACAATAAATTTTGTTGGCACATGTTGTTTTTTGTGTGGCAACATACATACTTAAGAGTAATTTCAGTGTTGTAATAAAAAATAAATAGTGACTACCAATAATTATTTCACTACTGGCACTGGCACTACATCAATAAATCAATATTTAACCAATTGGTAGTTTTTTATAGTATTTATAGTAAACTACCAATAGCCACAGCCTAATTAAATACTAACTAATTTGGGTAAAATCAAAGACCGATGCGTCTTTTGAGTGTTTATTATAGTTGCAGTGAATTAGGGCAATTAGGGTTTAGGTTAGGTTGAGGGATTGTTAGGCATTGGGATCGATTTAGGGATACATTCATGAAATTCGATAAAATAGTGGCTTTCGTCTTTAAAATTTACCACTAATCTAACTGTATAAATAGAACAAAAGAGTACTGAAGACTAAATAATTAAAATGTACATTTTATTTAATACTAAAATAACGGTTTAAGTTTAATAATAATTTTATAAATTATAAAGATTAAAGTCTTAAAGTTAAAGTTAATCTAATACTTGCGTCGTGTTCACAATTACACACACATACATTCTATTGATCAGATTACAGTCATGATTAAAATACAAATTTAAAAATTAATTTCAAAATGCTCCTGTGCAAAAACCGGTAAGTTAAAGTAATATTTCACATTGGTATGCTTCTCATACGAATTGTTTACCTGCCCCAGCAACAAGAAACAACTATTTACAGCTTGTGTAGAACGTCATATTTTAATGAACTCTCTTTTTGGAGGCTAGAACTCTTCATCTCAAAACTTAATGACGTCTTCTACATCTAAAGAAATTTGGGAACTTCCTTATCAGGAGAAATTGTTGTTCTTTCCCACTCGCAGTATTTGGATTACATTACACCTATCACTTTTATTGTACATGCTTTACTTATATCGATTTTATTGCAAACAATTTCAACAAAATCAATAAAATGAGCATTAAAGTGTTCATTAGCAACTCGGCTCTTAGTAATGAGGTAAATAATTAACACTTATTAACACAATCTCAATCACAAACCTAACTATGATCACTTTGTGTTAACTTTGTAAAGTAAAGTCGGTAAAGTGTAAAAAGTAAAGTTATTATTAATAGTAAAGTAAAAGTAGTTGTAGAGCGTAATAGAGTTAAACATTTAGCCCTAGAAATAATTTCAGTGAATATTTTATTTGTAATATGATTTATGATAAACGGTCAATACCACAGGCACATAAACCTTGCAAATCCCCTCCAAACACATCCATAGACATAGGAGCCAGAATAATCAAGAAGATGAAGAAGTCTGTCTCAACTGGCATAAGATAAGATTAGGCCAATTACTGCTTATGATGCCCTATGATCCGATTCAGTTATAAGATACCTTTTTTTTTATGTACAGGTCCGGAAACAGCAGCAGTACATCCAAGATATTCTCACGGCATTAAAAATCAATTATGAAGTCATTGATGTCCTTGATCCCCGTAATGATGAGCAGCTCAAGTTCATGCATTCAAACAGCAAACCCAAGAAACCAAATCAGAAACCAGTACCTCCACAAGTTTTCAAAGGAGATGAATACTGTGGGGTGAGATATTCCTATCAATATTCCTTCAAAAATCTAAGTAACAATTTATTATAGTTACTTGATAGACATAATAACTTTTCATAGATCATTGAATTCTCATATTGAGAAAAAAGTTCAAAACTCCCTTTTTTTCTCAGTTTCAGTTAGAAAAGTCTGCCTTATGCATTAGCTGTGCTCTGATTAAGATTTTTTTCTATATATGTAGTTTTAATAATGATCTACTTAATTTTAATTATCGTTCTTATATTTTTGAAAATGAAATTAGCTGCATTTCAAGTCTGTCAATTAATTCTTTCAGATCTGATTGAAAATTGCTTTTAAAAAAGCAGTTATTGTTTATGTGCTTTGGTGAATTAGAAGTGTACGCTTTATAAATATGCTTTTATTTTAATTAATGGGAAGTGTATAAATTTTGAGGGTAAAACTGCTGCTAATACTTTTTTTAAAGCTTAGTGACAAAACAACCTTTATTATTCTATTTTTCCTTTAATATAAAGTGTATAATGCTTTCATCATGACAGGATTACACAAAGTTTGCAGAGTCAGTAGAATGGGACCAGCTCTATGAATTTCTCAAGCTTGAGAACCCAAACAAGGTTTCCAAGGCCTCAGTTATTATAACAGGAGTAAGTACACTTGTTGTTTTTATGTTCTAATACACATTATGGAATGTACAATTTTCAGCATGTTACTCTAAATATCCTCACATTTCCTCATTTGTCTATCAGAAAAAAAGGACTTTTTTGGCACATATAATTTCTTATCTATTTGTTTATTTATTTTATACTAAATTATATCTTTAACTATTCAATAAATCTGATAAGTTTAATACTTGAAATATATCTCTTGCATATTCTCATTTTAAAATTTCTTAAGAAGAAAAGTATGCTCTCTGAATATGTAAATTTACTATGTCCAGGGTTTCTTTCAGCTATATCTCGGGGGGGGGGGGG